TCTGTTCATGGAGTCTGTGTGTAGTTTCACTCTGAGCTTTTCTGTGTGTAGTTTTTACCTAAGAGCTAAGCTGTTGAGGGTTTAAAAGGAACTAAGAGGATTCACAATGAAAGGAGAAAACTGCATAGATAAAGATTCAGAATAATCCTTTTACATAATTCTTTAATTCTTATCATGTGCTCAGAGTTTAAGAAAACAAATAATGCTAATAGAAAGGATTATATTACAGAGCAGCCCACTGTCTATTCTCAGAGGGAACCCCATTTCCTCTCTTCACTGTTTCTTTTATTTACTTCTGTATTTTAAACAAAAATATGAGTATGTGAATATTGTCTCTGTGACCCGTGGTGTACTATGATGTTTCCTTTCTTGTACAACTATCCCCCCCCCCATTTCCTTTGTTTCTTTTGAATATCTAGCAGAAACATCTCATATTCTCTCAGATTTCTCTCAGTTCAGTTTTTCAGTTGGTTAAAACTCTTCAGTGTTGATTTTTTCTGTATTTTTCTTGGAGACATCCTTATTGGACCTCTGCCTTTCTGCTGTCACATGGGCTGCTTGCCACCTAGGTGTAGGGCACAGCGGTCACTTAGAATAGCCTTTTGTGCATGACTGTCACATTTTGGCTGCGGTTAGCTATTACAGTGTAGTTATTGTAAAATGTCACAGTGCAGTGCTGTGGCTGATCAGTGGGCTGATCGTTTTTATTTGTTGCGTAGGAGGAAAAAGAGGAGATCTTATGGAGGAATGGGACTTGTCTGTGGCCTTTGGGGTGGGTGGGAAGGAAACAGTTTCCCATTTCTTCAGTGTCTAATCAGGGATGGTGATTACTTGTGCACTGGACGGACTGCATGCGGTACCCCCTGCACATTTAATTATCTATTAGTTGTCAAGTTTCTGATCTGTTCTTAAAATTGTACTGATACTTATTTGTTTTGCTAATAGAATGTGCTTTCAGTTTTATTAAAAAACAAAGGAAATGAGTTTGGTGACCAACCAGTCTCTGCCACAGTTACTGGTCATTAAAACCACCTTATGTTTTGAGAACGAGATGTTGGTGACAGACAGAAGCCTTAGCTAATGTCTCACCTTTTTTCCCTTTTCCTTTCCTGAAAGCTGCGGCTTGGTGATAAATGGTATGGGCTGACATGGTATAATTTGAGCAGAGGAACCGTAGTGTCGGTCATGGCCAGTCATGATAAAGGTCCTATGTGGGTGCCAACATTCAGTAGTCAGTATAGGACTACTCTGACTACTGAATGTTGGCATCATTAATTCATAATGGAAATAAATTCTTCCCTTCCTACCTCAATGCTTTGCACAGTATTTCCAGTGCTCTCCCTCCTGGGCAGATGGTAGCCTACTTGGCTGAAATGTGAGCTGAAGTCATGTGTCTCACTATTAGGCAGGAACGCTAAGAGCGAGTGGAAGCTTTGCTGTGGTCCTGTCCCAGGGTCTGGTGACTGTGAAAACTTTTGTTGAGATGAAGCCTCAGTCAACCTGGGGCCCTGGGTGACCAGGGATATAAAGAGTTCCTTGCCAACACCCCTGGGCATTTGTGTTAAGCCACTGAAGTTTGGGGTTGTTTATTGTTGCGGCAGAACTGAGTCTATCCTGAAGGGTGTGTAGCAAGTGCTTTACCCCAAAGTCTTTACCTCTGTAGAATTTAAGGTTCCAAACTAGCATCATATTAATAATAAAAGGTCAATCTCTTTCCATTGTTTCCAATACTGCTAAGCACTTGAACTGTCAGTGGCTACCCATGTGGGCTTCTCCCAAGGTAAAGATACTTTTGAATTTATACCAAGATCTTCACCTCAAATAATTTTTTTCCACTGCTGCTCATTCTTGAAATGCAGGACTATTTTAACTTTTGCTGTCTCTGCAAGTAGGGAGAGAGAAATCTTGAGGGAATGTAATTTTTCTTGTCACTGCGTGCACAACTGGGCTGCAGGTGTGGGTCGGAGGAGCGAGGAGACGGACGCTCTCGCCATCTGGGAAGCATAGAGCAAGAAATCACTTTCTTTGAGTGGTCGGGGGAAGAGCAATTACTGTCTGCACTTTGCCCATTAGAGAGAGAAGAAAAGATTTATTTGCGTAGGGGCTGTGCCTATGGCAGAGGATACATGTTTTCGACTTTCGGGGCCCCATGTGTGACGCTAGCTGTACTTTGCATAATTCTGGGAGAAACAGAGTATTATTGGGCAGAAGTTATGCTCATTACGGGTTCAAATATCATTAATTGGCTGTCTGGGAACCTAACAATAGTTTATGTGTATTTTTTTAAGTAATGGAAACTGTTCTGAATTCCAACCAATCTGTAAAAGGACTTGAAGAATGAACTAATGTTCTCTGACTGGGGTTCTACTGTCATCCCTCTTTGTTCCCAGTTTCAGTTTCCGTGGTTTGTTACCTGTGCTTAACCGCAGTCTGAAAGGACTAAATGGAAAATTCCAGAAATCAGCAATTTATAGCTTTAAAAATTTACCCCATTCTGAGTAGCATGATGAAATTTCGAGCCATCCGCGCTCTCCCGCCCAAGACAAAATCATCCCTTTGTCCAGCGTCTCCATGCTGTAGGCATCTCAGTTATCAGAGGCAGAGACCACATTCACATAACTGTTATTACATTATATTGTTATAATCACTCTATTTTATTAGTTATTGTGGTTAGCCTCTTACTGTGCCTAATTTATAAATGAAGCTTTATCATGGTTGTGTATGTATAAGAAAATACATAGTAAGTATAGGATTTGGTAGTCTTTGTGGTTTCAGGCATCCACTGGGGGCCTTGGAACATATTGCCCCCCTCCCCCCAGGGATAGAGGGGGAAGACTAGTTACCGCCAAGCCTTAGAAGCTGTGCTAGTTCAGGACCAATGTGTGAAGAGGGCACAGATGATCACAGGGCTGCCTCTCTCCCCTCCCCACAACCACTGCGTTTTGAAAATAAGCCAGTCTCCTAATCCTGAAATAGGAATGCAGGAAGATTATATTCTTAGAGCCTAGTTTCTGGAACAGTGTTTAGTGTTTTGGAAGACCATCCTACTGCACCAGGTAGGCCCCGCCGAGGACGCACCTTCTGCCCTCTCACGAGCAGGCATTTTCAGGGGCATGACCTATAGCTGCTCCTGCCTCTGGCTCTGCAATTACCCAAGTCTAAGAATCCTGCCTCCTGGAGAGACTTATCCCTAATATTTAATTATCCAATCGAATGCTAATTAGAAACACAAGAGAATGTGTGTGCGGGAAGGAGGGGGTTGTGACTCTCGAGACTGGAAAAACCACATGGGTGCCGCCTCCCCCACCCACTATTTCCTCCTTGCCTTATGCAGGATGGCATTGGGGGTTTCTCGTCTAGCATTGCCTCCCGGACCTATTAACCACTTAAAGCTAGAAATACTCTAGTTTTCTGCAGGGCACACAGAAACCTTCTGCTTGGCCATTTTAAAGCAATAAATGTTATGCTGACCACCTGGTGTAAAAGCTGAATGGACTCTATTCCTGAGGCTGCAGCTGTGCTCGCTGGCACCTGCCTGCCTGTTCTCTGCTGCCCTGCTGGTGCTGGGTGCAACTGCCAGGGGTCGTTCAAGGCCTGGCTGTGTGGCCTGCATAGGAGGCTGCTTGCTAAAAGCCTGTGCGGCGCCAAGGCCCGGATGGCTCTGCTTCAGGTGTGCAGCTCAGGCCCTGTTTCCTTGAAGTCCCCTGTGCAGTCCTCCTGCTGTAGAAACGGCCGCTTAACCTGCGGACAGAGCTGCGGTGAGCTGGAGTTTCCAACTCCGGTTAAAACAATGAATGGTTTTAGGCTTGAAGTCTCCTGCCCAGTCTGTACTATTTAACAGCAGCATCCCAACTGAAAAAGTGAGCTGGGTTGCAGGATATGGGCTCTAAACCACCAATGCGAAAAAACATTTGGCTCGTGCCTATCCTGAACCAAAGCGCCGCCTACCTTGCCTGGGACAGAAGCCCCAGTTACCCCACGTGTGGTTTGCTCCCACAGACTTTACTCCTTGTTTGTTTCTCATGGTTTGTTGCCTAGGTAACATATTTACAGTTTGGAAAGGACTCAATAAATAATATCCCCTTTACAAGACTGCCATTCAGAGTGGCTGAGTCGATTGTTAAAATACAGACGGTCTCCTGCAGTGGTAGGTGAATGGCTGTTGCCTGAAGCCCCATGTGCTCCTCAGACCTCCCCACGATCTGAGAACTGAAGGGGACTTACTTGGCCCCCCGGGGGCCTGGCCTCCAGGACCCTGCTCCAGGGCTGTGGCCAGTACACGTAGGGATGGCTCATTCACTCTTTGGAATGTAATTCTTACCGTCTTTCTCTCCCTGATTATGATCCATTTGAGAAATAAGCAAAAGAGGAAGGTGTACAGATTGTCATAGATGAAATTACAGATGAATTATAATTATAGGTGCTGTAATGATAGGACTTCATCTATAATTCTAGGTGAATTATAGAGGAAGTTAGTTTGAGGGACAGAGCTGTGTTTGAGAGAATTACTGGCCCACACAGTCACTGCAGTGGGGAAACAGGGCAGGCCACCCCTCCCCCTTCCCACTGTGGGGACAGGGTCTGCTCCTGGGGGACAGCAGAGAGCTTGTGTCCTCTGTGGGCAGGGCTGGGACTAGGGTAGGAGCGTGAGGCATTTGCCTCATGTTGGGAATTTAAGGGGTGTCCCAAAAAAACCTCAGTGATCGAGATAAATAATATTTAGTGAGTTATTTTAAAAAATTAGCATTAATGCAGTAAATCCATGATAAACAAAACTCAAAAATTTGAAATAAAGACAGGGTCATTATTATAGACTTTTCCCCTTGTTTCAGGTTTCAGTGTAGCTCAGTGGGGGCACTGATAACTTTAGCCAATCACATCTGAATTACCCATATCCGTAGTCGTAGGTTCTAAATGTAAAAACCAAGTGATTGAAATCAGTCAAGTGGTGACTGAAGTTTTCTAACATTTCCTTGAGTTAAACATTTTTTTTCTTCCAGAAACATCTTAGACTAATAACCTTTCAACTGTGCTGAAAACGTAGAAGATGGACAGTTTTTCCTTCCTTTTCTTTGGAAAGGATTTAAAGAAGAGATAAAACAGCAGAGGTTTCAAGTTCATATTCAGGATGAATGATTATAGTTCAGAAGACAAGAGAGAAGATGGACTGCAGTCCTTATTTATCAGTGACAAAAATGGAAACACTTACACATACCACCCAAAATCGCCACCTACCCAAAACTGTTCGGCCAACAGTTGGCATTCTGCCAACCCAGATGACATGCTGGTTGATTACGAAGCCAACTCTGCCGTGGACATTGGTGAGAACATTTCCTTAAACCCTCAGTGTGTTGAAGTGCTCGATCACCAAAAGTCTTCCAATGATTTCGTTGGTAAGGAGGTATTACATGTGCGTAAAGGTTCCACATGCCAGGCTTCCGCACATGCTGTAGACACAGGGGAGCCCAAGTTGCTGCATCACAGTTGTCATCCCCTGGACTCACCTCAGGACCAGAGTGCTGAGACATCTCTGCCTTTTGTGTGGAAACCTAATGACGATGATCTGAACTGTGCAGACTACCCAGCTGCCTTGAAGCTAAACCAGACATTTGACATGAACGTGGACAGCTCTGACTGCACCTTTGCAAAACACCGTGCCTTGGGAAAGAGTCAGTCTTTGCTTGCCTCTGGGAGCCTGCAACCAACTGGTGTGAGAAGTGGAAATACATCTTTACCCCCTTCCGTTCATCCACCCTCCCATTCTGATAAGGGACACATGACAGAAACGAGTTATGACAGAGACATTTTTAAAAACCCTCCAGCCACAGTGTCAGAGGCCCAAGATACAACTTTCACAGCCTTTTCCGAGGTGGTGATGCAGACTGATGTTTTCATTCCAGATGTTGGAAACACGTGTCCGTATTCTTCAAGAAATGTCACCAGCGGGTACACAGATGGGTCACAGCAAAGACTCGGAGAAAAAGAGATACACACTCTAACGCCCGTTTCTGATGGCATGGATGTTCCCAATGGGTCTGTAACAGAGGAGTTCTTTTGTTTATCTAAAGATGAACCAAATAGTGAGACACATTCAGAGGGCTCATATGGGCAAAAGGAAATGGGCCAGAATCTAAGAGAAACAGTGTCTGATTGTCTTATAGATGATGAATGCCCTTTCTTGGAGCCAGCTTTTGATAAAAGTACTACCCTAGTGCTGCACCCGGAACATAAAGTCACTGGGGCTGAGAGCACACACATTGCCTCCAATGATGAGGATTTGGGAATCCAAAATCATACCATAGAACTGGCCCCAGGTAGCCCCCCAGGACAAAAGCTACCCTCCTCATTTGAACTGACTTGGGATGAAAGTGATATGGTCATTAGTGCAAATGATACAATTTGCATGTCCACGCCAGTCCCCAAACCCACGAATGCCACCTTTTTCGTTTCACCCGTTGAAGTGGCTGAGAAACGTGGTAAACTGGAGAAGAGTCATCGAGAGCTCACTAAACCGAATCTAGGAAAACCAGCCACCAAAACAAATACCCCAATAGGCAGCAAAGTCAGGAAAAACAAAATCATAAGTTACCCAAGACCAAACTTCAAGAATGTCAAAGCAAAAGTGATGTCGAGACCAGCATTGCAGGCCAACGACCCTGCTCTGGCCAAGGTCACGCCCAGGCCGCAGCTGTCCAGTGCCTCGTCACCCTTGTTGGTATCCTCGAGACAGTTGCCACTTTTGAGCAAGACACGAAGGTCTGACCTGAACGCAGACACGAAGGCAGAAATCCCAATTAACAAGACACAGAAGCAGCAACTGAACAAGCTCATCACTAGCCAGGCCGAGCATGTTGCAACTCATTCTAAAAATGCTTCCCACAAGGTTTCCAGAACAACATCTGCTGTGAAATCGAATCAGGGAGATGTTGACAAAGCGAGTTCTTCCAACTCGGCCTGTGAGCCTGGCTCCGTGGCTTCCTTCTTTGAGAAGTGCAAGGGCCTTTTCTCCATGAAGATGGACAGCACAGAATGTTTGGAGATGACCTATGTTTCCAACATCCACAGGATTAGCCCTGAAAAGAAGGGTGAGCAAGAACGCGGGACCCCTCTGGAGAAACAAGAGCTAAAAAAGGAACTTTTGAACGAGACCTTTGAATATGGGCCTCTGTTTTTGGTAAGTGAATTTTTATTGCTTCAGGGAACGGTGGAGGGAACTGAGAGGTGTATTAGCCATCGGTTGTCCACTAATTGTCAGTAATATCGCAGAACCAGGTGTGCACATTTGCTCTCAGGTGTTAATATATTAGTCAGTAATTCTTTCTCTTGTCAGTGCATTTTGAAGTGTTAATTGGAAACCTGCACATTGGGAAAAAAATTCCTTAAGCTCAATATTTTGTATTGAGTATTAGTGTTCCTTTGGATATAGTACTAAGCTAAAAGAACAGGTTATTTTACTGTTTTAGTATAATTAGTTATTTAAAGTTAAACATCTGATTGCTTTATATTTATAAGAAAAAGGTTTTTTTATGAACTTTAAGATGTATTGGACCACATTTAAGAAATGGCCGGGAGGTGCTGGTAACAGTATCAGTATCAACATAGAAACAAGACCTGGTCTCTGTTGAGGGAGCAGCTCTGGGAAGTGGTGTCCTCTCCTGTGAGCAGGAGGGTTCTGGATTCTGATCACTAATGGGACTTGGGCCAGTCTTCTTTTGAGACTCCCAAGGTGATGTCTGAGGTCTCTTACAGCCCGAGCATATTGATTTCTGGTACATTAAATAAACAAGACCCATTTTATTCTTATATATTGAAAAAGCAGTATGTTTTCTATAGCAACTGTCAGATATCTCGGAGGGAGGGACTTTACAGTTCCATTTTAAACAAAAAAGAATTCATGCGCAGTTCAAGGATTCTGGAGTTGGACATGGTCTCAGATTGTAGTTCCATCATTTACTGGCAAAGGGACCTCAGGCAAGTTACTTAGTCTCTGTGAGGCTCAGTTTTTCTTTATGTAAAGGAGGGGATACAAATAACAGCTTCTGTTGTTGGAATTTACTCTCTGAGGAAGGCCCAGGCTCTCATTTCCTCAGTGTAGAACAGGAACATTTATTGGGTACTTACTTCATGCTATAGATGATGATGACTTTTGGGATATAGAAAAGAAAGATACAGCCCCTGGCCAATCCTAGTGTTTAGTGCTGTGGGTAATTTTAGAAGATAAACCAGAAGGGCAGTAAGTACTAAGCGGGGACTGTACATTGGCTGCTGTGCTGCAGGAGGCTGAATGGGACGGTGGCGATGGGGAGAGTTGTCAAGGAAGGCTTCTCGGGGAGATGCCGTGTCAGTTGCCAGCTGGAACTTAAAGGCAAGTGCGCACTGGAAGGGTATTCTGGGTGGAGGGAATAGCATGTACAAAGGTGAGGAAACAGGATATCCTCATTTAGGGGACTCCAGGCAGTGAGCATGGTGGGAACCAGGAGTGCAGAACCATAAGCAGTAAGCTGAAGATGATGTCAGGGGCCGACACGTCCAAAAGGACTTGGTGTGCCTTGTTAAGGAGACTTGGCTTTATCTGGAAAACAGAGGAAAGCTGCTGAACCTAATTTAGACTAAAATCAATAAAAACATATTTTTTAAAAAAATAAAAGCTATTTCTTGGTGCTTCTTTCTTCTTAAACCCATCTCTTTATATATATATTTTAAATATGTCTTTACTGATTTCAGAGAGAGGAAGGGAGAGAAAGAACAGAAACATCAATGATGAGAGAATCATTGATCGGCCGCCTCCTGCATGTCACCTGCTGGGGGTGGGGTAGAACCTGTGACCCAGGCATATGCCCTGACCCGGAATCGAACTGCCATCTCCTGGATCATAGGTCGATGCTCAACCACGGAGCCACGGCAGCCGGGCTATCTATATATTTTTAATCCTCACCGGAGGATATTTTTTCCATTGCTCTTAAGAGAGAGTGGAAGGGGGAGAGTGAAAGAGAAACATCAGTGTGAGAGAGACACATTGGTTGGTTGCCTCCTGCATGCACTCCAACCGGGGCTGGGGATCGAGCCTACAACTGGGGTACATGCCCTTGGCCGGAATTCAACCTGGACCCTTCAGTCCTGGTATCTCTACTTAATCAAATTGTTCTTTTTTCTCACAGTTCTGAAAGCTAGGATGTCCTAGATCAAGGCACCAGCAGATTGTGTGTGTGGTGAGAGCCCACTGCCTCATAGAAAGCTGACTTCTCCCTGTCACCTCACAAGGCAGGAGGTGGAAGAGAGCGCTTTGGGGCCTCTTTTACAAGGGCACTAATCCCATTCATGAGGGTTCCACCCTCAAGATTTAATCACCTTTCAAAGGCCCCCATCCAAATACCATCATGCTGGGATTAGGCTTTCAAATTATGAATTTTGAGGGGTTGTAGGGGGCACACAAACACTCAATCTGTAGCAGTGTGTGTGTGTGTGTGTATAGAAAGACAGATAGATAATAGAGATTGATTTTAAGGAACTGGCTTATGCCCCATGACTGTGGGGGTTGACTAGTCTGAAACACGTAGGGAAGGTCGGGAGGGTGGAAATTCAAGGAAGATGTGACGTAGTCTTGAGTCTGAAATCTGCAGGCTAGAAACTCAGTTTTATTAACCAGTGTCATCCCAATATTCAACAACAATAATAAAAAAGACTGCAACATAGAAACACATGGTTTTTTTCATGTAGCTAACACTGCAAGGGAATAGTGTGGGGAAGGTGAGACCTGAACTGACATCCTAACCATGCTCTTCACAGGGTTCTGCTTCAAAAACTGCAGCCCCCACAGGGAGAAGCACACCCAAGCCCGACTCTGCCAGTTTGAGGATAACACCTGGTCCAAAAGCCAAAGTGGGGCCGCCTGGTTCCTGCTTGAGGTGTAACAGCAACAGCAGAACGCTCAGTTCCGATCGGACCTTATCTTATCAGAGGATCCGGCGTGTGTCCAGCTCTGGTAAGCATGAAATCAGTCAGCTGTGCCTTATAGCAGTTTATGCATTATTCTGATGTAAAATGAGGCGTGGCAGAAAGCAGAAAGGCAGGTTTTGGTTTTATAACGAATGCTTCTGTCACTGAAGCATTTACCTTCTGTGGGCTAGCATCTTACCCAGGGAAGGTAGAAGTCGAGGACACAGCCCTTATCTTTGTAAAGGCTCATTGGGAGAGAGATATGTGCACAAACTCACAAGCTATTCAGAAGCATACATACAGTCTGCTCCCTGTTAAATATGAACCATTTTATTTTTACATTTTCAAAAAATGGTTAGGTGCATAATTACACAGGTGTTATATGCTAAATTTATAATGTGCCTTCACCACGTGTGAGGAGATTAGTTTTTTCTTGAATTTTACTAAAAGATGTATTAGAAATTTTCAGGGACATAGGAGTGACTAAAAAGTTAAACTTTTCTAATAGGAACTTTAATTAGAAGTAGTAGTTTTGAAATCATAGTTGGTTTATGAAATTTGAGAGCTTCAAGAGGAGCTGTTAAGTGTCTTACTAAATCTGGCAGATGGACAGATTTCTCTCTGCTACAAATCAGGACAGGAAATAGAAAGTTGGCCTCTTTCACAGGGACTAAGACAAAAAGCCACTGAAAATACTCTGCAGGGAACACCCTTTATTTTAATAGGTAGAACCTTGAGCAAATGAAAGGCATGTTAGAAAGATTTAGAGGTTTCCTTATAAAAATAGTGACTACTATTGAATGCTCTTAAAAAACAAAAGTGCCTCTAGCGTTGTGTGTCCACACATGTGAGAACATTTTACAGAAACTGACAAACCATCCGTATCCCAGAGCATCTCTGTGCGTCTCCACACCTTGGTGTTGGTTGGCTTTATTTCCCAGTCCTGATATGAAGCCTCGGGTGTGAGAAGCCTATAACATGCAGAAGGGTTTTGAGGGTGACTTATTTAGAGGTACGCCAGGCTGGCATCAGGGGCCTGAGGTTCTGAGGCAGACGCCCAGGACCAGGTGTGGGTGGAGGGGATTAGTAGTGCGTTGATCCTTTGGGAGAAAAGAGGAGAGAAGCTACAGCCGTTCCGAGAAGCACTGAGCCTGAATTTGGGTATTGCCAGTTGGGGCGTCGAGGCATAGTGAGATCAGAGCTCACTGTTGTTTGCTGCCAGATAAGGCTCATGTGTTTGCCAGAGCATGGGAGCTCCCTTCTTGCTTGGATGTCAGGAGTGCCTGTGGCTTGGTGGCCCGAGAGCCACGGCCACTGGCAGCCTGGCCTGTAGTGAGGAGCCCTGTGTTCCAGTGTCTTTCTGGCACCAAGGAGCTGCCTGGGCAAGTCTGTTACTCTCCCTGGCCTTCGGCCTTCACCTCTGTGACTTGTGAGGGTTTGAGAATGTAAGGCCCCATCAACTTTTGTAGTCATCTTTCTAGCAGCAATTTGGAGCTCACCTAATTTTCCGAGTTGTGGCTACTGTTGCACCACTGGGTGCTCAAATCCTAGAAAACCTGATGTGCACATACTTTTAAGAAATGTGACCAATACCCAGGATATACAGGGGTGGGCAGAAGTAGGTTAATAATAATAATAAATAATACTATAAGAATAAACTCTGTGTTTTGCATACTCACACTGTAAATCCACTTTTGCCCACCCCTATATTTTAAAAGATGGGATCCTTTTAAGCAGGAGATAGGTTCCATCAAAGAGTGAATCATTTCTGAGTCTCTTTCCTGTGTACTGCGTAATGTCATGCCATAAGGAGAGAAAAAGAGGTCTGTGTAGTCTTAATAAAAAGACGGGGAAGTTTATTAAGCTTTTATTAACCTGTACAAACACACTTGATAACTAAGTTATGCATTCAGTGTTTTCAGTCTGAGTTAAAAGCTAAATTATATTCTACCTGGTGGTTTTCCATATATAAATGGAAAAATAAATTAAAGTAGCCAGAAGCTCTATGGGTTTGTGTTGAAAGACTGACTTGATTATGCTGTATTATGTTTTTGAAAAGGTAACAGCAACGAGCTTGTTTGGATGCTCACAGTAAATGGAGAGGTGTTTGTTGTAGCGGACGGGAAACTTAATCTCCCCAGAGTTAAAAGTAGAACAGAAGTCAAGGAGCAGAAACAATGTGCCCTCAGATCACCGAGAGCATGTTGCCATTACTGTACAATGACTGTTTGTGTATTAGAAAATTGAAACCAAATGGACATCCTCTGTACTCGTACACAGTTACTGCCCTGAAAGGTAAGCGGCAGGAATGTTCCAGCCGGCCTGGGTTTTCAATAAATCCTTTCAGGGGACTAAGGAGAAAACCAGGCCTGGAGTTCAAATAGCCTCTTTCCTGAAGCTGTACAGTGAGTGTGAGAAAGAGCTGTACTTAAGCCCGATGGAGCTATTCCGTTGCTCAAAACCTGGAAATTTATATGAAACTAGATTATGTGGGATTATACAGAACCAATCCAAAGTACCCTTTGCTTCTTTGGGGTCTGTGTGTGTTTTAACCATTCAAATAAGATGAGATGGGGGAGAAATGACAAATATAGTGCCGATAGCAGCTCACACTTATTAAATGCTTACCAAGTTTCAGGCTCTGTCTTAATCATTTCTCCTACAAATTCATTTAACCCTCCCCACAGTTTTGTGAGGCTTGCGCCCATTTTACAGATGAGAAAACCATCATGGAGAAGTTAAACAGTTCGTCACGGTTATACAGCTAGAAAGGGGCAGAGGCGGGACTCAGCCCAAGCAGTGGCTCCGCGTCCATGCTCTTAACCTTCACACTGTGGTCTAAAGAAGCGCTGTTAGGATGACCATGGGTTTTGGTCATTAGAAATCTTTTCCTCAGCTGAATGATTTAGATGCTGCGGCATTTCTCTTTTCAGGCCCTTGGCTTAACATCTAATCCATTCACCGTGATGTAAATGATTTTGCATGGCTGTTGCAAATTAATGTTGATTAGTAGGTACCTCATGATCGATTCAGGCATCCTCAGGGGTCACCACTTTCAGGGGCAATGCCAGTTCCTACCAGGTTGTAGGTGACAAATGTGTGTGTTCCTTCAGAGAGACGTGTAACTGCCCTTCCAGTGAGCAGCCTGAGTCAGGCAGAATGCACTACCTTCCCTGTGGATGGATCCTTTATCCTGCCCTGGGAGGGCAATTGCATGTTTATGCAGCCACCACAGAACGCCCCAAGGGGTGTGTAGGGGTGTGGAAAAGGCCTCTGGGTGTTCTAGGGCTTTGGGGGGAAGAAGAATGTTCAGGGACTGGCCTGATTATATCAGAGCCTAAAGAAAGGCCTCATGAAAGAGCTAGTCTTTCCTTTTGTTCTAGAGAAAGAGAAATAACATTTCAAAAGAGTACCCATTTGTTTTAATTCAGTTTATGGTGGGTTAATAAGACAAATTCCTCTCAGACCAGGAGTGCATCCCAGACTTGCAATGACTTGCCTATCCCGTAGGTTTCTCTTCTTTCACGCTAAGTTGGTTCCCTCTTAGTTGCTTTTGTAAGCTGGTTTTTGTGTATTTAGTGTTAAAGGGAATTGAAAATCTTTTCAATTTATTTTATATCACTTTAGTCTTTTCCAGGCAAGGGTTTGAGAAAGAGAGCAAGCAAAATTATGAGACGTTTATTTGCATGCTTGCACAATTTCTTTATTAAAAACCAGAAATTATCACCTCGTACGTAGTCTAAAAACTAACTTTAATGTGTTGCTCATAGATATTTCTGTATTTGTATGTAATTAAAACATTTCTTAAAGAATATATCTCAAGCTTTCTTTCCATAAAATATAATAGTAGTGATGAGTTTTGAGTGCTAATGAGGTGCCAAGCCCAATTCTAAGCTTTGTAAATGCATAATTTTATTTAATTCTTACAGCTCTTGAGTTTAGATACTGTGATCATTCCTGCTCCGCAAATGAAGAATTTGAGGTTTTGAAAGCTTAAGTAGTTCGCCAGTGTTACCCAGTTAATAACTGGTGGGGACAGGAAACAGACCAGGCGGTCTGGTCCTGAGGTCTCTGCTCTTAACCTCTGTTACACACACGCAGAGTCCTGCATGCCCCCTCGTTCCCTGAACAAGCAGCTATTGAGCGCCTGGTGTGCTGGGAGCTGCTGGAAGTGCAGGGGCCAGGAGTGCACAGAAGAGACGCATTCTTGCCCTTGTGATACTTGAATTCTACCTAGTAAGGCGAGTCAGAACATAAACCAATACGATGTTCAGTATGTGAGATGGTGATAAGTGATCAGAAAGACGAGGCACTGAAGGGAGTTCGATTTTTAAGTAGGGTAGTCAAGGAAGGCCTCACTGAGCAGGTGACGTTTGAGCCAACGCTCGGAGGAGGGGAAGGAGGGAAGCATTTGGACATCACATGGAAGGACTTTTCAGGCACAGGGAACAGCAGGTGCAAAGTGGAGATGAGACAGTATGGGCGGTGCTTGTGGGATCCTCAGATGCCCAGCATGTGTGGTGGGGCTGGGGAATGGGGAGGAGGCCTGCCAAGCAGCACCTTGTAGGCACATGGCAGACAGGTGTGCTCTCTTCTCCTCTGTACTGACGTCATCACTGTAAATTCTTGACCATTTCGCAAGCATTCTTACAATTCTTCTCACTTGGCAAGTAATTCTGGGGACGGTTGCTTTATGGAATGACTCAAACTATGCTTACTGTGCCATTTGCAGTCTTTCTTACTTTCCCGTTCAAGAAATGTTTTGAGTGCCTACTGTGTGCTGGTCGGTCAACTAGATTCTGAGGGTGCAAACACAGTTAATGCCCTTTTAGCGAGCTCACTAGCTGGAGGGTGAGGTGAAAAGGGGTGTTTAAGCACATCATTTGCATGCAAACTCTTCATTCTTCAAACCTCAGCTGAACTGTCCAGGCCTCTGTGGTACTTTGCAATTATTATTCTGTATTGTAATTATTTTCTTACATATCTGTCTTCTACAAAACAGTGAGATTGGTAAGGATGGAGTTCAGGTCTTAGTTATTTTTATAT